ACATGGAATGTTAAAATGTCGATGTTATGGAACTGGAGTACAAAGGTGGTTATCAGAAGCTGGAGGTGGGTGAGAGGGAGGGATAGGAAAAGAGAAGATGTTGAGCCAAGAGTACAAAGTTTCAGTTATGCCGGAGAGTCTTAGTGATCTATGGCACTGCAAGGCAACTACAGTTAATAGTAATGTATTGTATCTTTCAAACTGCTAAAGGACTCAATTTGTAATTCTCCTTAAAAAATTAAGTTGGTGAGGTGTTGGCTATCTTAATTAGCTGAAGTGTTTCTGCCATGTGATTATCAATCCAAACATCACATCACACCCTGCAAATATACACAAAAATTATTTTTCAATTAAGAATAGACAAATTTGAAAAAAAATTAAATGAGGAATTCAAATGTAGAGGTTCTCCAAGGGCCTACTGAGCACCAAAGGAAGTGTATCAAATATGGCAATATTATAGAAATACATAGTAATATCTTAAAAATGGGTAAGATACAGTCTCTTTTTGTTTTTAAGAGAAAGGGGTCTCACTATGTTGTCAGGCTGGTATTGAACTCCTGGTCTCCGATGATCCTCCCACCTCAGCCTCTCAAATAGCTAGAACTACAGGCAAGTGCCACCATACTGGCTTAAGATGCATTCTTTGACACAGCAATTCTATTTCTGTAAGTTTATCCATATGGGTAAGAGGACATATATACAAGATAATCACTGTAACTTTACTTATTACTGCAAAAGTTTAAGAATAACCAAATTGTACCAATTTTATCGTGTTTTATCAATAGAAAAAAATAAGTGATGGCATATACAAACCCTGGGATAGTATAAGGCTCTTAAAAATTATAACAGCATTCCATGTGTTTAGATATACAAAGTGCCCATGATACAGGTGATAAAAGCAAAGTGCAGAATACTATGAATAACTGTTAATAGTGATGGATTCCTGGGTCAGAATTGAAGGCCTGGGGGTAGAAATGAGAACTTGTTACTTCTTCTACCTTTTGAATGTTGTTCCTTGTGTATGATTTAAAATTTTCTAAAACTAAATAATAAAAATAAAATAAAAGATCTCAGAAAGGGGTTGTAGGCACCTAAATTACTTTGATATTCCTCAAAGTGGAGAGAAATACCTGCTACACATTGTATATGATGCATTCAGATCACACTAACTTCTTGAACTAAATCTGAATTTTGATTTTAATCTGATAAACTTGGCCTACTAGTCTACTGAACTCATTTCCCCCATAGCTGATAAGGTCATTGTCCTGTCCACACTGGCCCCAGCAGGAGACTTCTCACCTCAAGATCTCAAAAGCCTCCTACATGAGGCTAATAATATCCCTGAATCCTGCAATGGATTAACTCTCGACTCCACTGGGACCCAGGTCTGACCCCAGAGAGTCATCCAGAGAGTACCAGGGACCATCTTCAGAAAACAAGAGGCATTTGATCTCCACATTTATTGAATGAAAGCACTGTTGCTTTTCTTGTCTGAATATATAAAAGTAAATACTCAAGCAGATGGGAAACAGGACAGGATAGTAATGCCCTTATCATCATTAACAGTTTGGATCAAGAAGAGGCACTAAGCATACAGACTCACTCTGTGATGAAAGGCGGGAGAAAGAGGAGCATCAAAGGGATCTTGAGGATGAAGGCAGCCCTTCCCCTCCCAATCACATGCCCACCTCCTCTCACTGCGGCTTCTGTCTCAGGCCTTCTCCCAGCAGAGCTATAAATCCAGGCTCACTCCTCACTCTCCACACATCCACACCTGCTCTCCCTCCTCCAGGTGACCCCAGCCATGAGGACCCTCGCCATCCTTGCTGCCATTCTCCTGGTGGCCCTGCAGGCCCAGGCTGAGTCACTCCAGGAAAGAGCTGATGAGGCTACAACCCAGGAGCAGCCTGGGGAAGACGACCAGGACCTTGCTGTCTCCTTTGAAGAAAATGGACTCTCTACTCTTAGAGCCTCAGGTAGGAGACATCAATCTTGCAGATCTGCAAAATCTAGAACAAAAGGATTGGAAACAGGCTCTGGCGTCAAGTGTGGAAAAGTCTACCTCACTTGAGTGACTTTACTTAATCTTCCTGGACCTTGATTTTCTCATCTCTAAATTAATCAGTGAGAACCGAACATATCTAAAGATTTTCTTTCTTCTAAGACTTTTAGTTTGAAGATATTTCTGTGAAATTTGCTACTTTTAAGATAGAAAGAGCTATACTGACCAGGTATTTGTAGGTCTGAATGGGTAGACTTAGTTATGGAGAGAATATTTTACTTTGTCCATTGGTAAAGCTTTTAGAACCTAGAGAGGAACCTATGGGTGTGTTTCTAATTTCATTTGTTTCAAGCAATCTTTCAATTTCCTTCTTATCTTTTATTGACCCATTGGTCATTCAGGAACATGTTGTTTAATTCCACGTGTCTGTCTCCTGTGTCTGTCTGTCTCCCTCTATTTTTATCTCTCCTGACACTTGCTCTCTCCCTCCTCTATCTATCTCTCCTGCCTCTCTCTCTCCCTCTATGTCTCTCTGCCCTGACCCTTGCTCTCTCCCTCTCTCACTCCTGTCCCCTCTCTCTCTCCTGCCGCTCTCTCTCTCCCCACTCCCTCCTGCCTCTTTCTCTGTTTCCCTCTCTTTCTCTATTTTCCCTGTCTCTCTCTCTCCCTCTGTCCCCCAGAGCTGGTCTTTCTCTTTCTTCTATGCACACTTTTAGACTGAGTAGACAGTATGCGTTACATAATTGAACCAAGCATTGGTTCAATATAGAAGTTTGACAACTCGATGGACACCTCATTCTCTCTTCTAAGCCAATATGAAGGAGCCCAGTAGCTTGTAAATCTCATCTCCTCACTGCTTTCCATGCTACAACTGCTAACACTGTGGTTGAAACCTGTTAGGTGACTTTTTAAATAAAAGTCAGAAATTTTGATTTTATCTAAAGAAAGTAGTACAGAATGTCATTTTCTAAATTTTTATATTGAAAGGGTAGATACTGCAACCTAGAAAATTCCAGATAATCTTAAGGCCCAGCCTATACTGTAGGAGCTACTGCTGCAGACACTCTGCCCCTAGGACTTTTCCGATCGGAGGCCCTGAGAACCGTCCCTGCCACGAGGCCACTGCAGGTTCAGAGTCCAGAGATGGCCCATGAAAAGCAACTTTTAACCGGGACATGTAACCTTCATTTTCTCCTTGATATTACGGAAATAAAATAAAAACCATGAAAGGATAAAAGAGGGAGAGTGGAAGGGAAGGATAGAGAGGGAAAAAGAAAATTTGAAATTAAAACCTAAAACAATTAATCATATAGCTATTATATTGTGAAAGCGTCATTTTACCAATTTTATTTATGAGTCCTGGGTGTTTTGAGAAGAACGGGGCTCTGAGTGGCACCAGAGACCTCAAATTTTCCAACACCTAGAACAGTATCATGAAGGAAGGCAGGGAAGTAGGGAGGCAGGGAGGGAGGCAGGGAGGCAGGGAGGCAGGGAGGCAGGCAGGGACAGAGGGAGGGAGGGAGGCAGGGAGGGACTGAGGCAGGGAGGGAGAAAGGCAGGGAGGCAGGCAGGGAGGTAAGAAGGGAGGGAGGCAGGGAGGGAGGGAGGGAGGGACAGAGACAGGGAGAGAGAAAAAAAAGAAGAATGAGGTTGAAACCAGGACTTAGATATTAGAAACAAGCCAATACAAAAGTTTATTTCTGTGGTTAATTGTGGTTTTCGACTGTAAGTTATGTGGTGTTAATTTCACATTGAACAATTTCTGTGAGTTGTATCTTTTTATCCCATCTCAGATCAAATACTTAACAGACTAAATGATTTGAAAAGCAAAAAGTTACTGGCTTGTGTGTTAAAACGGAGGTAGGGTGGCTTTGATCTTATCTACTTGTGGTGGGGCTGAAGTCACAAGAGAACATTACCGAGCTCCTACCAGACCCCACCCGGAGGCCCCGGTCACTCAGGAGAGATCAGGGTCTTTCACAATCAGATTCGACCAAAACAAACATCCCCTAAACCACAGCAGTGCCAGTTTCCATGTCAGAAACTTCGATCCAAATGATTGACTCGCGTCTCATGGAAAAGCCCAGGCTTCAGAAAGAAGTCCACTACAGATTTATTCAAGGCAATACAGACACAGCGTTTGTGTTTTTGCAACATGAGTTTTGAGTTCTAACACGCTGTTTGCTCTTTGTGTGTTTTTTTCCTGTTAGGTGTTTTTGGTGATACAAGGAATCTTTTTACCTGCCTTAGGAATGGTGCCATATGTCATCCAGGCTTTTGCCCTGGAACGCATAAACATATCGGCATCTGTGGTGTCCCTCTAATAAAATGCTGCAAAAAGCCATGAGGAGGCCAAGAAGCTGCTGTAACTGATGTGGATTCAGAAAGGGCTCCCTCATCAGAGATCTGTGACATGTAAACAAAATTAAACTGTGGTGTTCAGATTTACGGAATCTTGATCCTAGTCATTGCGGTCATGGTGTGGTGCTAGTTTGGGCAGGCCAATCTCTAACATCCTTGGAACACCCTTTTCTTCTCTCCAGGCGAGGGTCAGGGATGCCACAGTGGGGCTTGGAGTGCTTTCCAGGGTACAGGCATCTGTATTATTTGGATCCCTTGACCTTCCCAGTTATTCCCGACAATTTCATAGAACGTGTGCTTTGCTCCTCCTGCACCCTCCCCTTGTATGCCTACCCTACATCTTCCCTAAAAAAAGCAAGCCCAACTGAAAGACCACTTTCCTCATGGAATCATAGCGGATCTGCTAAGGGAGGGGATGCCCAGTCCTCTGTTCTTCACAAGGACTCCCTTCTTCTGGTTAAGGTTTCCTATGCAATTACACCTCCTACAGAGGTGCATGAATTTTTAATTCTCCATTTAGCTATGAGAGTTCTACTGGTGTGGACTTTGTCTTATTCATTTATGTGCTGGTCATTCATAAGCTATTTCACAAATCGGATGGCAAAATGCAGTTGTACAAGGGTTTACTTACATACAAAATAATAGGATCCAAGTAAATGCTCTTAAAAACAAGTCTTTTGGAGGGCATAATTAAATGAGGACAGTATACCATAGGACACAAGCAGACGGGAGCAAACCTCAAGAAGAAAGACACATCAACTATAAACGGAAGCATCAGGATAGCTCCATGGCCCTGCTCTCTCTCCTTGGGAGGGTTTGCTCTTTCAATCATGAACTTTGTGGGTGTATCCTACATGCAGAAGAAGCTCTCTATTTCTTCACATTGACTCTGTACTAAATGTGCATATCATCGACCTCTGGGAAAATGCACCTTAGTTCCAAAATAATCCATTGTCTTTCCTCATCTCAAGACAGAAAAAAGTAACTAGCCCTTGTTAGAGTAAAAGCATTTTTATCTGGGTACAGATTTTATCCAGATATGATGACAGAGCCAGGACTAGGGTGAAGCGAGGGAGGCTCTGGCCTCAGGTATAAAACGTAAGCACTTAGATACTCCATACTTAAGATAGATGATCTCATAATGTGATAGATTTTTTCAAAAATCATAGTCATGAAAAAATCATATAATCAACAAAATGTCCAAAATGTAAATCAAGACAGGGTCTAATCCTATAATTGTCCAACTCAGTTGCACTCACCTACCTTGATACCAGGACAGTCAGACCCTGCTTTTATTTAGTCATTTACTATTCATCATGTATACGTTGTTATTTTGAATAAATTAGTGGATTTCCTGGTTCCCGGAAGCATATATCAGTTGATTGTATAAAAGAAGTGGAGCTTCGCAAAAAAAAAATTAAAATGTCACCATGACAATGACATTCATTCCTATGTTCTAGGGGAAGCAGCAAAACTCTCTTAGGAAAAAACTCTCCTTTTATTTGAGAAGACCCTTTAATGGCAATTTAGGTCTTGAAAGACAGGACAGGGAGGAAGACTCACATGGAGACCAGCATCCTGTGGCATTGAGAAGACCGAGGTCAAAGCTCACACAACACAATACTCCGTGTGTTAGTCTGTGTGTGTTGCTCTAAAGGAATACTTGAGATGGATAATACGGCAGGAAAGGAAGTTATTTGGCTCACTATTCTGCAGGCTGTGTGAGAAGCATGATACCTGCATCTGCCCCTCATTAGGCCTCAATAAGCCTTCAGTCCTAGTGGAAAGTGAAGTGGGAGCAGTAATATCACCTGGTGAGAGCAGAGCGAGAGGGTGAAGGGAGGTCCCAGACTCTTTTAAACAACTACATGTTGTATGAAGTCGGAGCAAGAACTCACTCATTATTGGGAGGAAAGCACTTAGTCATTCGTCAGGGATTCACCCCGCAACTGAAATCCTCCCCTCCAGATTCCACTTCCAACATTGAGGATTAGATTTCAGCATGAGATTTCGAGGGGACAAATATCTGAAAAATATTATTCTTCCCCTGGACCCTCAAATCTCATGTCCTTCTCACCTTGCAAAATACAATCATCCCTTCCCAATCACTCCCAAAAGTCTTAACTCCTTCTGGCATTGACTGAATCAAAAGTCCAAAGTCCAAAGTCTCATCCCCTGAGACTCAAGTTCCTTCCGCCTTTTAGCCTGTACTATCAAAAACAAGTTATTTCCTTTCAAGTTACAATGATGGTTCAGGCATTGGCTAAACACCACCATTCCAAAAGTCAGACACTGGACAATAAAAGGGATTACAGGCCCCACACATGTCAGAAACTCAGCAGGGAAGCTGTTAAACCTCAAAGCTCCAAAACAATTCTTGGTTCTATGTACACTATTCTGGTGTGAGGGAGGGCTCTGAAGACCTTGGGCAGCTCTGCCCCTGTGGCTTTCCAGGGTGCAGCCCACATGGCTCCTGTCACAGGTCAGAATCTGATGCCTGTGGCTCTTCTATGCTGAGGGTACAAGCTGTCAATGGTGCTCCTATTCTCAAGTCTGTACAGCAGTGTTCCCCTTCCCTCAGCTCCACTAGGCAATGCCCCACTGGGGTCACTG